AGTTTGCAACACTTTTTTTTACATCACTTTCAACAACTCAACAATGTGCAATTACAATTAGCATATCGGCTTTAGTTATCACGATCGCATTTCTTTTGTTGTGTTTTATATACATTTATTGCAAAACATTACTGCTGGTTATTAACGGGACATATAAGCCACAAACTTATTGACTTGGTCCACCTTAACTCAAAGTCCCCCCCAAAAAAAAGCGAGTTCGAAAATTTGAGGAAAAGTATTGGAAAGCTGGCGACGATGGTCCCTGACTAGCCTCTTGGCGATAATCAACTGTCTCCTAAAAAAACCAACACGATGATCGCCTGCCTACATGATTATCTCTCTGATACATGTGATGAGTGTGGTACAAAAGAGTCATCTGAGCGTCTTATTTTTATGTGCAGCAAATTAACATAAGATATTCATTTGAAATTTTCGGTATCTATAATAACCTATATGAAATCTTGTTATCTTAAGCAGCTAATTGGCTTTTTTTAACTGCCGTCTTGTCCATTTAAGTTATCATATTTATAATTAAACTTTTCGATTTGTATAACAGTATTTAAAAAAATTTTTACAATTCCCTTAATCAATAAATCCTGCACAGCCATAGTTTGATGTTAATCTTCAGGTTTGAAGTCCACAGTGGACAAAACGGACTATTACAACTGACATAACAACTTATTAAGAGAGATTAACATCATCAATAAATCAATAATTAGTATCACGTGATCTGCATTATGTCTTTCCTGTGTTATCATCTAACCTGAACCTCTTAAGAATGTATCTTATCATTTGCAGGCTTGATTCATTCCTCTTTGTATACAAAAAAAAGTAAGAAAGCGTTAAAAAAATCACTTCCTTTCTTGTATATTTTAGATAACTTAAATGAACTTCTTAAAGATTAGACACTGTGCACATTTCGGATGGTTCATTCATAAGAGTATCGGCACATGAGTTCGTAGGGCATTTTATTCTCGCGTAATCTGAAAACGGATTTGGACATTGTTGTTAAGACGAGAGCTGAATATATTTTGTAATAGAAGCGGTCATTCTTAACGCATGCGATTTCTTTTTATTCATTATTCAAATTAAATGTAAGCTTTATAAAAATACGCACTGCTTCTTTGGGAGCATATTCAATGCATCAAATTCTGCCTTGTTCGCTTAGACTGGGGCCGCAATAATCTAGCATCCAGACCATATAATAGCGGATATTGATTGCAAGAATCTTTTTTGTTCCATAAGAACAGAGCATATTTTTTTAACATAACAAAAACTATTCTGGCCGATTGTAGTAACTGTTTCTACGGCATCATTCCTTAAAAACAGAGCATATTTTTTTAACATAACAAAAACTATTCTGGCCGATTGTAGTAACTGTTTCTACGGCATCATAAATGGCAAGTAACTTGAAGATAATTCTTGCGCGATTTAAAATTTTTTTATTCTATTAAACTGATGATCAACTATCAAGAACCTAGAAACATTAAGGCCAACTGACCCATCAGTCCCACATAGTACATAGCAATTATTATGAATAAACTGTTTTCAATTAGCCAAAGCTTGCAACCCTGCATATAACCGCAGTAGTTGTATACAATGTTAGCAATGGCTCAGTATAATGACATGGTACGTCCCAAAAAAAAATTATATCTAAGCTTACTGTAGACTAGTTAGCGCATCAAAAGTACGTTCACTGCATAAAACTTCAAGGTAATAATCGAAGAAGAAGAAATGTAAAGTAGGATCTCCCAGAGACCACGGATTTTCCAGAGTAATTTAAAGAGTCGTGGGATAGATAGGTTAGACGTGAATTTACGTGCTGGTTAAAAAAGTCGCAGTTATTTATTTTATTAGAATAAATCCCTAATGAATTCTTCATCGTCCGTGTTTGCAACACAGTCAATACTTGCAGGAATGTGGCGCTTCTCTTAGCAAATCATAAGATATTAAAGCTAATATTTTAAAATAAGTGACGAATCGGATGTCAATCGCATATATGTTGACTGCTAAAGATTTGCAAGGTCATAAGAGCAGATTATATTAGAATAATAAAGGATTCCTTGATAAACAGAATATCGACAAATAACTAAAAAATTTTTTGTTATTGTCGTTTTTCCTGTACTTTATATCTAAAATAAATGCAATTTTCTACTTGAATTCTCTGTGATATCTCAGGTCCATTTGCTCAAAATCTTCAAGTATGGTTGGAAGGAAGACATCACTTTCGAAACTCGGCTATATTTCTGTTATCTGTTATGTATTCTGTTTCTTAGAAGCCACGCCCTCCTTAAAAACGCTTGTGCCGCCTATTATTCATATGGTCTCTATACTGCTTTTTAATGTATTATTGTCCTCCAAAAATTTCACAGCCGCTTCAAGATTAGGTTGCAATAAAACTTCTTCGGGAAGTTCACCCTCTTTAGTTAAAGTTGTGCTTAGAACGATGTTCATTCTACTGCGCAACGGTCTATTACTGAGCGGTATTCCGAAATAAGTTTTACGTCCCTTTGTAACTACATTGCGTTTAGTAGAATCAAATACTCGTGTTATCTCGCTAAAGTATCTAAGTTCGGATCTGTGAGTAAAAAGATATAAGGAAATGTTCATTTATAACACACTGACTCACTTCAATTCCCATGGTAAACCGCCTTTCAAACCAATCCCAACATTTTTTGAAACAGCAACGATTAAATAAAATTTCAACATAATTTAAACAAGTCCAGCTATCATTGCAAAATCGAACAACCAACCACAGCGGTAGAGTTGGCAACATTTGCTACTATAATTAAATTTAGGTCAACCCTTAGTGAAATAAAATTCCGCTTATTCTTATTAATTTTCTTATATATTATTAGTAGCATTAAATTCGTGAGTTTTCGATCAAGCAATCCGGAAGGCATCTCACGCTTTTTCTTAAGTACCGATAAAAATGTATATAAAATAATGGTACACACACATGTGGAAAATAAGTATTTAAAATGCAGCCACAAAAATCAGCATTTTCAGCTGCATACCTTCGAAAAGGCATTGCTGCAGCCACGGAATTAGTACGTCAATACCATCATGAGCTAATTCTTTTGCATACAGGATAATTCCAATTTAAGCAATTGTCCCGAAAGCAAAAGTACAAATCAGAATAGCGGGAAAATGGAAATTGAAATATAAGGTATTAAAGTAAAAATAAAAAGCTCAACAGATCTGCGAAATTTATCTAAATTTTTAGAAATTATTCCGCATATATAGAGGGTGAAAATATCTGTTTTATCGAGAAACGAGAGAGAAAATATATGACGGAGTACTAGTACATACTAATAATTATTCAAATGCTTTTATTCTGTCGACAGAGTTTTGTGAGCTAAAATTATTGTCATGCAATCTGTTTTGAGCTTAATATTAGAAATATACAACGTATAAGTAAATTAAGTGGCAAAAAGTAAAGAGTTTTTGATTGGTTATAAAAACTGAATGTAAATTAGCGAAAGTTAACACTAATTTTGTGGAAGTATATTGAGTGGTTGGAACACTGTAAGACGTTCGACAGTTTGCTGACTTGTTTCGCAAATATAATGAATTAGCTTTAAATTGCGTAGATTCTGGAAATAGTTGTCTAAACAAATTTTGTAACGATAATCGAAAAATATGATACTTAAAAAACAAACCTAAAAGAAATTAATTGAATTAGATAGGAGTTATCCTGTGCATCATGTAATCTAACATTACATTAATTTATTAACATCAAGTAATTTAACGGTTAAATTTAGTTTAATTACAATTAAGCAGAGAAAATGTTCCTAAGTTGAACACATTCATATTTACTGATTAGGCCCCTCTAATAACCAAAATGTTTCCATTTCACCTTTTCCTTTTACTTTAACATAACCACGTGATTCAAGTTTATAGTTTGCCTTGCTCACTTTCTCGGCTGAGTAATTGGATAATTGGATTTTGTAAGGTTCCGAAGTGCTTTCCATGCGTGAAGCTGTATTAACGGTATCACCAAATAAGCAATAACGCGGTACTTTTAAACCAACCACACCTGCCACTACCGGACCCGAATTGATACCAATGCGTATGGAAATGCCTGGCAATTTTAAAGCTTGTATTTTTGGTATCAAACGTAAAGCCAAATCACAAGCGTGCTCAGCGTGAAGAGGGTTTATATCCGGAGCTCCTGAAACAGCCATATACACCATTCCTACTGTCTCCACTTTATAAATGAAAGGTGAAATAATCTCCTCATCAATGGCGGAGAAAACAGAGTTCAAAGTGTTCACTGCTTTCATAGCATTTTGTATGTTACTAGAGTCGCCAACATAAAGATCCAGAATTTCTATAAATATAACGGAAACTTCTTCAAATGTTTGGCATGTCGACTCTTCTCCATTTCGCATGCGCTCAGCTATTGGCCGCGGTATCATCGAATATAAAAGTTCATCACCTTGCTTCTTCCAAGAATCGGATAGTTTTAGCGACTTTTCTAATTCGTCAGAGCGTACTTCCTCCTTTTCGAACATCATTTCCAAGGTTGAGCCATGTTGCCAACCGGCCATAACAAGTTCACGACTTAGGCCGTGTGAGTTCAAGTCGTTAAGGAATAAGCCGTAACTGTGTAATTCTTCCAGATTTTCTATTAAAGGGCTACACAAATAAATCAAAGAATTGATATCTTTCAGTTGATATAGAGGACCCTTTAATAATATTGGCTTATTCGTTTCCAAATCCTTTCGGCTAGACGAGATCGATATTCCAATTTCTTTAGCGGCTGCTACGTCTTTATTATTCGAGCGAACTAGTTCAAATTCAAAGAGTACCGTACGCATTTGCGTAATATCATCCCACTCCATTGGAACATCTTTGGGGCGACGACATTTAAAATGTTGTACAAGTTTAGATCCAATGAAACTTTTTGGATCTTCATCAGGATTGTGTAAAATCCAAGTTTCCACGATTTTCTCGCCAGCATAAGCTATTTTCATATCGCGATTCAAAACGATGGTAAAAGGAAAGAAATCTAGCAAAATATTTAGATCTACTGCAGCTAAATCCAGTTGAGATTGGTGTATAGAACTGTTAACGCAATTGGTCATATAATCACGGTTATCGAAATTTAAACGATATTTAACAATCACTACTCTGGAAGCATTAGTAAGTTTGATTGGTCCAGCGGTACCGCCAGCGATATCATTTTGAGATTCTAAAACTTGAACATCTACATGTAAATTATAAAACTCCTTAGCTACTTCGATAAATTGACCAGTTAGGTATTTGGACATTCCAGTGCGACCACTCCGATATAGCATTACGGCACCTTCGTCATCAACTTCAATCAACTGCATGGAGGGTGATTTCATTTTTGGGTAAGTAAAACGCATTTGCAAATGTATGTTATCGATGGATTGCAAGAAGTCACAATAGTAACGGCCCGTGGATCGTATCATACGATCATAACCGAAGTTACTAAAAAAACGAACGAAACAACGTCCGAAAAAGTTCATGCAGTAGTCTACTGATTCACCAGTGCAAGCTGCTAATGCCGCGGCAATGTCGGGCATTAATTTGTCCGGATAAATTTGGTGCGTTTTAAAAGTATTATGCTTACAATCGACTATCTGGCAAACCTGTTTCCAGATATCTTTTCCAAATTCCTTTTCAATGAAAAAAGCAACGCTTTCATATAACATGCCATACATGTGTGTAACTGCGATGAATTCAATTTATTGTTTTTCTTTTTAATAAATGTAACAAATGTAATTTTATATCTTGAATATAAAATATAATCTTACATAGTGCATGTGTGCGTATGTATGTTTCATTGTATTCCTGGTAGGTCTGAACAAAACCATGAAGGACAATGGCTAAGCGTTAAATTTATGATATCGTGGTCACACAGAGCCAGGAAATATTGAAAACTGTGTACTTTTTAGCTATTCACCGTAAGTAGAGAAAACTGGCTAGAAAAAAATATGAGCCAGTAATGATAAACAAAATTTGGTTCTTTCGCATACTCATCTAAATATTTTGCAGTTGCAATTCTAATCACTTTCGTAGTGGATTTAAAGCAGAATCCATTCATGGTTAAGTAACATAGCGCTGTAAGTTGATGTTTTCGTCTGTAAATTCATGATAATTTTTTATTATTAAAATCGTGAAAATTGAAGAAAACCAGTTATGTACTTTCTACAACGTCAGATATGCTAATACATTCTATCTCTCTCGTTCCAATTATAAATGGGTAGCAGATACCTCCTAGCGGTAAAATCGCAGAAGCATCATGGTAAAAGAGAAATTTTTCCAACGTAAATAAATAACGAGAAAACGTTTTTTTTTTTATAATTTGAGCTGTTTGGAATCATTTTTGTATTACTTTGAACATTAAATTTGTATTTGGTATAGTATGTAAGTTGTTCACTAAATGCCTCACATTAAAAGTTGATTGCTTCTATTGCCTTTTATAAATCCATGACCTTGAAGTGACTAAACTTTCTATGTTTAATTACATAGTTCAATACTTTACACATGCATGCATCATTTTATTTTTCCGACAGATATTTTAATGGCTTTAAGAAGTCTGGAGACAGAGGACAAGGCTACAAAGCTGGTTGGATCAAAATATTGGGCTAAAGTCCATTTAACGAAATTAATTATGACAACATAAAATTCTATTAAGACGGTATTAAAGACGTTATAAATATTCTTCTTTATACAAATATGTATTTTAATATCTTTACACTTCTAAGGTGCATTTTAAATCTATTTTGTTTAAAAAAAAATTTTGTTTGGATATAGACACCGAGTACTAAAAATTGTTTTAAAAGCATATAATCTTTGTCTACACATTTTGTATGCACATACATGCAACATACATACACGCACACACACACACACATATATATATATATATATATATACAATTCTTTTCGTTAATGCTCACAATTTCCACAATTTTTCCCTTGTACTGTGAATGAGAACGTATTCGTTGGCAGTCCTTCTGCTGATGATATATGCCTATGTTGCAATTGGTTTGCGTGTTTTAAGCTAAATGAAATACGTATTACGTTTGCTTCTCTTTTATAGTCCATCGTTTCTTGCACTTCTTCTGCGTATTCATACATATAGAGACCCTCATTCACACAGGCACTAATAGGGTTTAACATTAAAAAATATCATATTAAGGTGTACACGTTAATGTTAATATTATGCCTTTTATATCTTTCAAATTACTTTAGAAGGAAGTCATCTACAAGTATGGGAAAATGATTGAGTACGACCTGGGTTTTTAACCTTTTATGTATTTCTAACATGCATTAGTTTAATTAACACTTGATGAAGAATAAAACAATAAGTTCTACTTCCATACATTACAATAACCTTGAAACGTCGCTGTTAACAATTAGAGGAAGTAAGTTGGTGGATGGCAAGGTAGAAGGAAAAAACTTAGAGTATGATAAAAATAGTGAGATTCTGAGGAATGGCAGATGCGGATGAAGGCTGGGCAAAAGATTAAAGACGATAATTGGGACATGGCGAGAAAGTTATGTCTTAAGTAAGTTATGTTATAAGTAAGTTTAGAAATTATGTTCTATTGTAAGCCAATTTAGCTATCCAAGGTACTTCAGATTCACAAACTGCGGTTTTAGCTAATGCTTGTCCCATCTTTTCAATTCAGACGCGAAAAAAATTTTTTTTTCCAACCGAAAAAATAATATCCGCAAGATTGGAAACATTACACTTCGAATATGCCTCACGAAATATCACCGATATTCAAAATCCGGCTCAACGATGAAATTACATACTTTAAAGTGTTTCTGTAATTCATTCGTTCATCCGTTGCTAAACCAAATAATACGCTTCTTAATGCGCCAATTGTTTGAACTAATGGTTTACATTTAGAGAAACATTAAAGAAATTTTATTTTTGTAAAAAAATTCTGCTTTTCGATTCTTCAAAATTGTTTTTTATTTTTAATTGGACATTTATAACGGCGTGGATCCACTGAGCAGTTTATTTAGCCAACCCAATCTTATTGAATAGCTTATCTTTAGCAATTTGAGCCATCAGGCCATGTATTAACTCAATTGACGTGCGGCTGCTATCGCGTGTAGCTTTGGTTAATTTATCTTCAGTACGTTTTTCATTAACGTCTCCACCTAAGAACAAAAAAGAGATTAATAAATATATGCTTTTTTCTTTTCATTAACATAAAATCTACCTGTCACTAAAAAGGAGCCACGGCCCAAACTGGTTTCACTTTGCTCTAATTTTTCAGATAAATCAAATATTTGACCTGTAGTGTAATCTGTATTAGTTAAGAGCCCTGAACTGCCCAAAGTGTTGACCCAATATTTATTCCAGAGCGAGTCCAAAAGTTTACGATCCAATGCTGATTTAAAGTAACTAACTTCCAGAGGATAATACTGTTTGCAATGTACACCGAAGTCTTCGATTTTATTTAACGGTATTGTTTGATATTCCGACGGCTCCTCGTTAGGGGGCTTATATCCCGTAGGATATGTGCGAAAAGCACCCAAACATACCTTGCCCGCGGACACTGTACGTACCGGATCAACTACGATAGCTACAAACGGTTCTTGATAGGTTTGATTTAACATTTGGGTGCTAACATCAATGCCCGATAACCAACAACCGTAGCCGGGGTGGCTATGATACCAGCCGATAGCATTCTCTAAGCGACCTACCTCCTTAGCAGAATCAATGTAAGCTGACATGTATTCATAGGCCTGGGACTGAGCGTTGACACGGGTTTCGGTGCCCTCCACAGGCAAAGCAAAAGCGTCCATTACAATCTGAAAGTATATAGATTTTCAATTTATATAAAAAAAATACTAAATTCAAAGGAATTTCTTACCATAGTATTGTCTTCTACTTTACCCAATAATAAGCCCATTATCTCTAGTGTACCACCTGAACGTGCATGCATAACCATTTTCAAAAGTGATAAAGCTGAAATCTTTATATCCTTAAAATAATGAGGATCTTTTGCCCATGGTTTAGCATCTAATATTTGTCTCTGCTGCTCTGCATCATAACGGAATATTTCATCACAGCTGGGCAATGTGTTAATGTTGTTTTCTAACTCCCACGTCTTACGAGAAGCAGACGTTCCACTCTCCATTTTGTTGAAAGGTAGTTTTTTTCTTTTTTTTTTTTTTTGGATGTTGAGTTAAGATGGACCAAGCCAATAAATTTGTGGCTAATATGTCTCGATAATAACCAGTAGTAATTTTTAGCAAGAAACGGACATAAAACACAACAAAAGAAATGCGGCCGTGATAACTAAAGCCGATATGTTAATTATAATTGTACATTGTTGAGTTGTTGAAAGTGATGTAAAAAAAAGTGTTGCAAACT